TGGTGTTGGGTGCGCTGGAAAGTCGGCGGGAGCCTTGCCGACAGGATCCCACTTAGAGTATAACAGGATCCGAGGGTGCTGGCTGGGGAGTCGGGGAGGGGCAGGGGCAGCTCGCACCAGAAGGAGACCCCGAGGCTGGGAGAAGCTGGTAGCAGTGAGCGTGGACGCAGCCGAGGCCACACTGCCAACCGCCTGCCCTCGGCTTGCTTGTGCCGGGGGTTGCCTGGTGGGGGCTGGGGGGGGGACATCTAACAGACATGATCAGGGGGCTGGTTGCTGTGTCAGTTGGTCATGGGTGCTCAGTGGGGAGAGAAAGGGAACAGGAAGAGAGCGGGGTCATTGTTTTTGGTGGGCGGGCAGGGGAGGTGCAGATGTGCAGAGACCTGGACAAGGGTGACAGGGTCACACAGACCCTAATCTGGGGAAGGAGTTTGAAGCTGAGGAGGAGGACAGGTGCAAAGGGCCTGGGGCCAGGGCAGATGCCGGCAGGTAGCAGATCCCTGTTTCTTGAGCCCTGGTGCACAGTCTCCTGGGAGGTTGTTAAAATGCAGATTGCAGGGCCCCCTCCCAGTGTTCCTGACCGGGAGATCTGGGGTGGGGCCTGACCGTGGACTCAGTGCCCAGTTTGCCGGTGATGCGGGAACACGTTTCGGGAATGGATGCCGCAGCCCCAGGCCTCCATCTTCTGCTTCTGACACGGGGGAGTCTGTTGGAGGGTTTTACCCGGAGAGACAGGATCCCGCTTAGGGTGTAACAGGATCCTTCTGGTAGCCATGGGGGCCAGGCCAAAGGTGGGAGACCACTGAGAAGATGGCCAGAGGTGGCTCGGGCCAGTTGTGGAAGCCCAGCGGGGCGGGAAGGAGGGAGAGCAGACATCAGAGGACGGGCGCACCCTGGTGAGGGGCTGGGCAGACCCGGGAGGCCCAGAGAGGTGCCCTAGGGCGCAGTTAGTGCTGCCTCCTGGTGGCGGCAGGTGGCGTGGGCAGCCATGGTGAGACCCCTGGTTGAGAAGTGAAATCTGAACCTCCCAGCGTCCTCTGCGTGAGCCCGTGTTTCATTGCTTCAACTCGGACATCCGACGGGGACCTCTGGGGAGAAAATCCTTCATTCAGCCTGCAGTTTGGAGGCTACAATTCCGAAGCAGTGGCCCCAGAGCCTGGCATCGGAGGAGGCTGCTCATGCCGGCCGATCAACCCTCTCTCTCTCTCTCTCTCTCTCTCTTTCTCTCTCGAGACCCCCACCCCGCACAGCACGCCTCCCCACCCCACCCCACAGACCTCGCACGGATCCACCATACTGAGATCAGCAGTCCACCCCTATTCATCAGGCATAAAGACCGCACAGTGTAAACACCGGTGCGAGTTGTGGGAAGCCCATTCCTACGCAATCCATAGCACCCTCCCCGATCCAAAACCTCCGACGTCGGCGTGCTACCTCACCTGCAGAACTGAACCCCTGACCTCATGGGACAGCTCACAGCCAGGACAGTGTAGATTACCCTCAGGCCACGCGAATAAGGTGTATATGAAACATAACCGCGTCTTCTGTTGGGAAACCCGGGTCCCATCCCCAAGACGTCTTCCTGTGTGTATCCAGGGGTTTCCAAACTCCGAAACACTCTGGCCTCAGGCATTTTGGATAAGAGAATTCTCAGTGTGTATAGAAAAGAGGGTAGCGGGGGGGAGGGGGGAGCTTCCAAAAGTTACGCAAAGAATCGAGTTAACAGGTACTTTTATTTTACTGTGAAAGATTGTTGAAATCCAGGCCTGTAGGGGTCTTCAAAAAGTTCAGGGAGAGTGTGTGTTTGAAAAAGCTGCAGAGATCTCAGAATTTATTTTCTTTAAAAAAAAAAAAGTAGTTATTTATTTGAGAGGCAGAGTTACAGAGAGAGGCAGAGGTGGAGAGAAGTCTTCCATCTGCTGGTTCACTCCCCAAATGGCTGCAATGGCCACAGCTGTGCCGATCCAAAGCCAGGAGCCGGGAGCTTCTTCTGCACCCCCCAGGCCGGTGCAGGGGCCAAAGCACTTGGGCCATCTTCCACTGCTTTCCCAGGCGCATCGGCAGCGAGCTGGATCGGAAGAGGAGCAGCCGGGACTAGAACCGGCGCCCATATGGGATGCTGGCGCCACAGGTGGAGGCTTAGCCTAACTACCCCACAGCACTGGCCCCTCGAAGTTTCTTGAGCCAAATTAAGCATTTTTAAATCCTGTCCCCCCGGGCTCTTGCCATGTCTACCACTCGTGGCAGGTGTGCAGGCGCCGCAGCCCACCGGCGTGGTTCGCATGTGAGCCTGGTGACCAGCTCCCCGTGTCTGTCTCAGTTTGCCTTTCCCCAGCTGGAGGGGGCAATAGTCATGGCCCGCCGTGGTGAGCGCTCGCTACCTGCGAGGCACTGTTCCAAACACTCGGACGCACCACCTCCTGCCCTCGCTCCACGATGCCGTGACGTGGTTTCGGATGAGGATGCTTTCGCCTTGTGTGGCATTTCGCTCACGCCCAGTGACGGAGACACTGCTGTCAGCTGCGTTTTATGAGTGAGGGTACAGGTCAAGATAGTTCCAGTGACTTGGCCATAGTCACACACGACGCAGGATCGTGATTGCAGGAGCTGGGAATCATGCTATGAGGTCCGGTAACTGATGCTCATTAC